ATCCCTAGAAACTCAAGCAACTTATCCACCCGCAGTAGCAATATCTTCCAACATTGAATAATCCTTGTTCGGTTTATTGGCAATGGCCAAAGTTGTCGCCCTTCTCCTTGCAGCCATCGCGATATCAGCCGTGTTAGTGCAAGTGGAATGCGACGCCCCTGTCAATCAACGCTTGACTGAGGCAAGACAGGCCATCAACAAGGCCCACGATGCCCCTGTCGATAAGCGTGTGACTGAGGCAAGTCAGGACATCAACGAGGCCCTCGACGCTGTAGTGGCTGCTGCCCCACCAGCAAAAAAGGCTGAAATTGAAGATGCCACATGGAAGCATAGAATGTACTCCCTTCGTTTCAGGTTATAAGACGTTTTGACTTTGGTCAAATAAAACTGCTTAAGTTTGACCAAGTTTATAGAAAAAGGTAGTAACATTTTCAACCCAAGACAAATTTATTATGAAAATATATTCAATTATTGATTTGATGATACTAATTTAATATTATAAATATTACTATATTTGTCTATAAACTTAGTCAAACTTGAAACAGTTTGACTTTGCCCAAAGTCAAAACGTCTTATAACCTGAAACGAAGGGAGTACATTCTATGCTTCCACGTGGCATCTTCAATTTCATCCTTTTTTGCTGGTGGGGCAACAGCCACAACAACATCGAGGGCCTCGTTGATGGAGACGAGAAGAAACTTGCTGCAACTTCAGTTGCCTTAATAAATGAGGAATGGGTTTGGCAGGACTTATTGAAAAGAAAATATCTCTCTAATCAGTCTATAAGCCAAGTTGATAGAAAATATGGTGATTCTCATTTTTGTCAGGTCTCATGAAGGTTAAGAATACTTTCTTAAACATGGGTTCTTGGATTGTGAATAATGGGGAACAAACCAGATTTTGGGAAGATAAATGGTTGGGTAACTTGGCTTTTAAAGATAAGTATCCATCTTTATATGCTATCGTTCGAAAGAGAAGTTCTTCAATTGCTAATGTTATGGAATTTGTTCCGCTAAATGTTTCTTTTAGGAGAGCTTTAGTTGGTCAGAATTTAGCAAATTGGCATGAATTATGTGATTCTATTGTGCATATTCAGTTGAATCAATGGAGTGATTGTTTTAGATGGAACTATCATCAGAATGACCAGTTTTCTGTTCGGTCAATATATTTAGGGTTAATAAATAATGGCTATATTGAGAAAAATAAAATTATTTGGAAGCTTAAGTTGCCTCTTAAGATTAAGATCTTTATGTGGTACTTGCTTAAAGAGGTTCTATTAACTAAGGATAATTTGGCAAGGAGGAATTGAAATGGAAGTTTGAAATGTTGTTTATGTATGAAAAATAAGTCGATTCAACATCTTTTTTTTTTATAAAACACCATATGTTTCGTATATGCAGGTAATTTTCAAGGCAACACATTGGCTTAAGTCTTGAGCACAACTGCAAATGTGTGATGAAGATGGTGAGCTTTTAAAGGTTGCATGTCGTAATCTTATGACAACGATTATGCAATTGTTTGCCAATTTCGGATGTAGGTTTGCAAACATAATTTAACAATTGTGTACTCTTTATCTTGGGTTAGTAGTCTTTGGTTTGTTTCTTCTTCATGATTGGTGTCTTTTATTTCTATAACTAGAGGATGCCCCGCGCGTTGCTGCCGGATTTGGTTAACATCAATTTGTTAGATAGGAGGTACAATCTCAAAAAGAAACGGAAGAAACAAATGGTTTTCTTGGAGAAATTCTTTTTAGCAACCCTATCTAAATTTTTTAGATAATTTAGGTAGAACTTTCAAAGTATAAGCTACAAAGAAGCAAAATGGTTTGACATAAGTTAACAAATTGTAAGGTTAACTGAATGGGCATTCGACTATAAAGCTCTTTTATACGGATTGATGGGCCTGATACATGTAGATGTGTGTGAAGATGAGCCAATGTGTTCATGTGGGCTACATTTGGCACTGAGGAGGCGAAGAGACTCACCCGGTGCCTGATGGATTGGGCTCTATACTGCGTTCCATCCAACGGCTGGGAAGCAATCTAATGCATTCATCTAACGGTTTACAATTGATGATGACGTGGAAGCATGAGGTTTGAGCTTTTGGCATTAACTTTATAGAAAGAAGGGATTCTATTTGAACTGTATTCATTCTGAGTGTTAGGCTGTAATAATTGGTTATAGCTCATTAAGCAGAGATCGAGATGTTATATTTCATTATTAAAAATATATTTATCCACAAAGAATCAGCCGAGCTGGGCCAGTACTAGCTGGGCCTGGGCAGTACTACTACTCTACAGTATAGTGCATAGTGCTGTCAAGCTGGCTGGTAGTCTGTTGGAGGTTTTGCACAGTATCCTGCAATGACGAGAACGAAAGGTTGCAGATTCAACAGGCGAGTTCTTCGTGAGTTCGTGTAGCTACAGGTCACGTTTCCTTTGTATGCTTGTGCCTGATCAGTTGCATTCTGTTGCGTCTGCTTCAGGCGTTGCTTTACTGAAACGAAGCGTGTCCATTGTGTGAAGCTACGATACGATAGGCATAAGCCCACAACTCAAATATGCACAATTCATGGCCCAGCAACGGCATTTCCGAAAGGGAAGAAGTAGCCTCGAGGACCCATCATCTATCTATATATCTATCTATCTATCTATCTATCTATTATATTATTAAAACAGGTTTGAAAGGAGGCACCACGTTTACTGTGGGGGCTAGAAATTCTCACATTAATCGGAGAAAAAGAAAAAAAAGAAAAGGAGAGTCCAAGTAGAAGTACAATTTAAAAATAGCTGAAATTCGGAATTAAAAAAAAGCAATATTGAAAGAAGTTTCCATATAAGAACCCAATACGAGATTAATCAAAATTCGAAATAAAAATAAAATAAAATCCAAAATTAGAAAAGGAAAGGAGAGTCCAAGTAGGAATACAATTTAAAAATAGCTGAAATTTGGAATTAAAAAAGGGAATATTAAAAGAAGAGTCCATATAAGAATCCAATACGAGATTAATTAAAATTCAGAATAAAAATAAAAATAAAATCGAAATTAGCAAAAGAAAATAAAGAGTTCAAGTAGGAATACAACTTAAAATTAGCTGAAATTTGGAATTAAAAGTAAGCAATATTGAAAGAAAAATCATATAAGAACCCAATACAAGATTAATTAAAATTTCGAATAAAAAATAAAATAATATCCAAAATTAGAAAAATTAAAAGAGACTTCAAGTAGGAATACAATTTTGAAACAAATGAAATTGAAAATAAAAAAAATAAAAACATTAAAAGAACGCAATACTATTGTATTAACTAATTTTTTTTTAAAAAAAATAAATTCTGAAATTAGAAAAAAAATAAGATTACAATTAGGAATAAAATTTATAAATAACTAAAATTTGTGATAAAAATAAAGACTATTGAAAGAAAATACCATCTAAAACACATAACGAGATCAATTAAGTAACAGGCCTATAAACGAGTAGAGTGGTGGCGGTTGATACGACATATAAAAATTGTTAATGAAACACCAAATAGAATCCTAATGACGATTAAAAGGAGGGACGTCAGGCATGCCGTGACGCAAACAAGTAAGGCGGTTGCCGGGACTTCCAGAACGTAAAAAAAATAAACCCCATTAATCATATTCGATTTTTAAAATCTCAATGACAATAAAAAGGAGAAGCAACGGGTGGAGTGTATAAGAGTATAGTTGCTACGGTTGATGGGACTTCTAGAAAATAAAAAATGAATTGCAACGATAGTTATGTTCGATTTTTAGAATCACAATGACAATAAAGAGTAGGCGGCAGACGGGCTGTAGAGGGGCATAGTGGCATCGTTTGATGGGACTTCTAAAAATTAAACTACAAGTCCAATTTTTAAAGGTTCGGAACTTCTAAAAAGTAAAAAAAAAAACAATGATAATCATGTTCGATTTTAAAATCTCAATGACAATAAAGAAGGGAGATAGCGGGTGAGCCGTAGAGGAGTACAATGGCTAAACCGTTAGCGGGACTTCTAAAAAGTAAAAATGAACCCAAACGATAATTATGTTCGATTTTTAAAATCTCAATGACAATAAAGAGAAGAGACAATGGACGCCAATTTTTAAAGATTCAAAGGAGAATGAATATAAATAGTGGTAGATCGAGCAAGCAAATAAAGAAGAAGATGATATAAGGATATCAACTGGTATGACTTTTAAAAAATATATAATTAGAAACACGGGGATGATAAGGTTTGGTCTTTCAAAGACTTAAGAAAATGAGATAGCTATTTAAAAAATTTTAAGTAAAATCATACTTAAAAAATATATGATTTTGTTTGTGTGTTAGCCGCGCAATTGTGCGGGCCACCCAACTAGTTTGTCTAATACTACCTCTGTTTCATGTTATAAGACGTTTTAATTTTGGTCAAAGTCATACTACTTTGAGTTTGACCAAGTTTATAAAAAAAATAGTAACATTTTCAACTCAAGACAAATTTATTATAAAAATATATTCAATTATTGATTTGATGAAACTAATTTAGTATTATAAATATTACTATATTTGTCTATAAATTTAGCAGTTTAGGAAACGTGTGCGTGAAAAACGATAATGTAAAAGTTAAGAGAGTAAGGTAATAACATAAACCTAGTATAAGTATGTTTTGTACAAGTACTCTATTATATTTCTTCCATAATATGAAAAATGAACATAATGGTACATGATGTGTCATGCTAGATTTGTTTTTTTAAGACAGAATGTGTGAGGGGAAAAAAAAAGAGGAGATGGCCACCTGGCCTCATGAAAAGCCGCACCACGGCGTGTTGGTTGGCCCGAGAGGGCGAAGCACCAAGGCGACTCGCCACGCAAAGCGATTCGAGCCCGGCTGATCTGGTCGGGCCAGGCTCCGACCCACCCCGCCTTGGACGCCACGTCCAAGCTAGGCACCCGATGCCATCCCCCCGCATCGCCGTCAACTTGTAGCGCGCGGCTGCGACCGTATAAAACCACCCCGTTCCCTCAAGCAAGCTAAGGCCTATGCTACTGGATCTCTTCGCGTCCCATCTCCTAGCCCATCAAACTCCAAAATCAACCTTCGTTGAGTGATTTGGTTGGATATCGGAAGGAAAGAGATGGGTAAAACATGGGCACTCATTAGCCACCTCCATGCTTTTGCCGGGTATGTACGAGAATTGCAAATTCTAATTCATTTCGTTTTGTGATCATTTATTTGGCTAATTTGCGATGCTTCACATGCAGGCCAACCCTGACACTAATATACCCTCTGTAAGTGAACACTGCTAGTCTGTTACTCTGTTAGGCTGCTGATTTTACTTTACATCGCTGCCTGTGAATTTTCAGACTGTTGGTTTGTAGTTGGATGAGTATAAAAGAGTGTTGAATTGGATCAGGTACGCGTCGATCTGCGCGATGGAGAGCACGTCCAAGGTGGACGACGAGCAATGGCTGGTGTACTGGATACTGTACTCCCTCATCACCCTCATGGAAATGGCACTCCATAAAGTCTTGTACTGGTAATTAAATTCGTGGCACCGCCTCTATCTGCTCTGCAAACGGGTATGCAGATTGCAGAACTAGACCACATTAATTGTCGTCTTGCAGGATACCGTTATGGTACGAGGCGAAGGTCCTGTTCGTGGCGTGGCTGGTGCTGCCTCAGTTCAGGGGGGCGTCGTTCATCTACGACAAGTTCGTCAGGGAGCAGCTCAAGAAGAACAGGGTGAAGCTGCACGAACACCACGGCCATGGCCATGGCCACGCCGACGAGCACCAGTCGCACGTCGTCAGAGGTAAGCTACTACTCTACCAAAGTACTTTTGTGCTGATCATGTCAACACGGAGCGGCGCCATCTTTGGAGAATTTGGGTTTAGTTTTGTGTGTGAAGGCATCTAATGAGCCTATCTGGATGTGCTGTTTTGCTGAACGCGCAGGCTGAGGATGGCGTGCACCGAGGAACGGATCGAATGTATGTTTGTTAATTAATCTGACGAAGGACAGAACCAAGCCGGTGAGGGCTCATGTCGTTCACGAAACTAGAACCTACGGCGCGCTTCGCGGCGCCCTTGCTGTGTAAATGAGGAAAATAAATAAGGAGGCCCTGAAGAGCCTATTCAGTGGATTGGCTGTAGCACCACTAGCTATAGCATTCAGGTTATGAGGAAAACCAGTGATGGATTAAGTAGACATAAAATACATAGATTGAATGTTAACATTGTTTGTGGAGAACAATGCATAATCTAGAGTACATTATACATCACAGATATAACAATTGGAACTAACATCGATAAATAGGCAGGAAATTATGGGGTAGATTGGTGAGGGCCACGCCTGCGAAATTCGAGAGGAAGACGGCGTGGAAGCGTGGCTGGGGGAGCACCCTAGAGGCGTGAGGCAAATTCTAAGCAGCAGCACCGGCGCAGCATCCACGATCCCCCCTGCACACGCACACACATTCAGAACAGTAGGCATGGAGCATAAATCAGGGCAGCAGATTACCTAGTGTTGGCCATTGATGTAAGAGCGAAAAGGGGAAAGATGAGAGAAGAGCCAAGAAGACATCCGAAGCAACGCAGCTGTTTGAATGGCCTCAATCTCTATTAACTAACCGGGTAACAGGAACGATAGGAAAGGCTAGGGCCATGCCAGATGCATCGATGCCTGCGCGCATGCCGGTACGGCTCGTGCGCAGGACGATTTGATGTGGCCTGACGCGGCACGTCAGACACTGTAGCACGCGGCGCTTAGAAAAACATGGCACGATAGACTCACGGCCTCTTGGATACGCATAACACATGGTATATGGGACAACCCACAAAACCGACCCCACCTGTCATTGGCTCTGCAATGAATAGGTGCATGTCCATCATTTATCCAATGTAATAACCAGTAGGTAATTTGTCCAATCCGTTCGTTGCACTGGATGAACGTGCTCCTAGCGCACAAAACACAGGCAGAGAGGAGCACTCGTGTGACCAGGGATTACGGTGGACCAAACGTTGGTAGGAGAATCATGAAGAAACGTGCCTGCCTCGCACTGTCGCACATAGTGACATCGCATAGAGAAACATGAGGCTATGCTGAGTAAACGTGGGGGTGCACCAAAAGTCAAGGCTGTCAGGCAGGGAGAGAGCTACATAGGCCAGACGCAGCATGGACCAAGGTGATTTCCAGGTGGGCCATAGAGCGTTAGGACCGATGGCACACACGCACCCAACCACATGCCTACGGTGAACCACACAAAGGATCCAAGGCATCACAGGATGAACTATAAACACCACCTAATTAAACCGACAAACCAAACGTGATATATTCATCTTATTAATCACATAGGTAATATGTTCTAGTATGTAGCAACACGAAAGACACATGCTAAACTTTGGTGGCAGCATGCCACAGAATTACTGGGCAAATTCCTATCGCCAGCAGAAAATGATGTGCTATTTTTTGTTACAGAAAACTAATCTGCTATTGCCTCTCTTTTTTCTGGAAAATGAATCTCCATATCGAATCTACCATGTGCTCTGAGAAGCAACATACCATAGTTTTTTTAATGGCTATCTAATTTGACCATGCAAAACTCTGCATAATTCAAGGTAAGAACAGAGAGAACAGATAAGAGCTGCAGTTACAACAGGCTGTGTATGTGGAGGAATGATATAATTCAAGGTCCAAATATTAGCAGGATCTCAAGGTCTAAATATTAGCAGGATCCAGGATCACTAAGTAGAAATAAACACACACGGAGTTTCTGTTTACAGTGGCGCTATACCAGATTCTGGATAGGAATTTTCCTACCAATATATCACCCCTGTCCTAAGCACATACCCAGTTATACATGCTTGCTTAATAGGAAACTAATCTGGATAGGAATTTTCCTACCAATATATCACCTCTGTCCTAAGCACATTTCCAGTTATACATGCTTGCTTAATAGAAAACTAATCTGCATATTGAGTGTTATTTTTTTGCTGTAGTAAATAAATCTGCATATTGAATTTACCATCTGTTCTGAGAAGCAACATGATTCATAGGCACAAATGGATGGGGATCTAGGACAGAAGCCCTGATGTACTTGTCTAGAACACTAACTTCTTTCAAAAACCACAGTCAGTATTGTGATTTTTTTATCAAACAGTCAACATGCTTGTATAGAACACTAAGGGTGTGTTTGGTTCCTGGTCAAGATTGGATGGGATACGGTGGTCCATATTTTGCTGGATATGGCGGTCCAATTTTTGTTTGGTTGTGTGAATATGGCGATCTAATTTTTTGTTTGGTTGTAGAGACAAAGGTGGATTTGGTGATCCAATTTTTTGTTTGGTTGGAGGAAGTATGGTGGATTTGTAGGTGTGGTCACCTCTCACTTGAGATGGTGAATATACCCCATCAAATTAATACATAATACACATTCCATTATAAATACACACTCCATTATAAATACACATTCCATTATAAATACACATAGAAAAAAGAAAAAGAAAAAAAAAGCAGCGCCAGATCTGGGCTCGCCGACGCCGCTGGCAGCCTCCTCCCGCCGGCTTCCTCCCGCCGCCGGCCGCCTCCTCCCACCACCGAGGCTCGCCTCCTCCCGCCGCCGCCTTCCTCTCTCGTCACCCACGCCAGCCGCCGAGCTCGTCGCCTCTCTCGCCGGCCGCCACGCTCGTCGCCCGCGCCGGCCGCCGAGCTCGTCGCCTCTCTCGCCGGCCGCCGCGCTCGTCGCCTCTCTCGCCGGCCGCCGAGCTCATCTCCCCTCTCGTCGCCCACGCCGGCCGCCGAGCTCGTCGTCCCTCTTGCCGGCCACCGCGCTCGTCGCCTCGCTCGCGTCGTGGTGGTGAGGGGTGACGCGAGTCACGCAACTCGCTTGCCCGGCTCGCCCGAGCCTCGGGCGGTTGCATCCGGCCAAATCAGCCGGATCCCTCTATCCAGCATGTGGAGGGAATATTCCCCTCTGGGCTGCCCTATCCCACTCTCGCCCAGCATCCAAACACCCTCCAAAAAGCGGCGGCCATGTCTTATCCGGGTATATCCCACCAACCAAACACACCCTAACTTCTTTCAGACCAGAAACTTTAATCGCTAAAATCAAGCGGCAAACAGCTACTTTAAGTAAAATCAGGGAAACATTTAGCTTCTAATAATCCTAACATATCCAAGATCAGCTAAACCTTCTTCCAATCACCTGCGCTAGATTTTAAGAAGCAACCTAAGCAAAATGATAAACACTCTGCAGTAATATTTACATATAAGTGCTTCATCTAGTGTCGTAGGTAATTGCAAAATAAACATGATGGTTGGCATATTCAAACGAAACAGTGAGAGTCTGCACACCTCTTAAATAGAAGCATGGTACAAAGATGAAATATTACATGCTTCAATGAATCTGGATACAGAAAGAATGTCCAGTGCCAATTGTACAGAAAATCTGCATAATTAAAATCAATATATAAAGGCAAGATTTAGGGGAATGAAGTCCTATATAAAGATAAAATGAAAGGCCACTGAATCCTAACCATTAATTTTCTGGCTTCCTCATCACACCAAACCACTACAACTTTTAGTTTGGAACAATATTTGCTAGCTGCTTCATTCAGCAGCAAGCAGACAGCAGTAAACAATAGCCCACCAGGCAGCAAAACGAATCGCCCCGATGTTGTTGACGGCTGTGAGAGTGGAAGGATCAAGTCTATAGCCATCTGACATAGAGGAAAAAACCAGATCAAGACTATCTCACGGTAGGCAAAGCGAGTAAAAACTGAAGAAAAGCAAATAAAAAGGGGAACCACCTCAATGGCGACCGTACCTAGCATCCTCGAGCTTGTTTCCCATCACAGGCCAATGTCTGGTTCTTGAGTGAGTGTGTCCTTGCCAAATGCTCCCACCATTGGTCCATGGGTCGCTTCCTGGCCGAGGCTACCGTCGTCGCAGCTCCGTGGAGCCCAACACAAAACAGGGTAACTGCTGCAACGGGTGGCGAGGAGAAACAGGCGGAGAGTGCTTGAGGGTGCGGCAGGAGATGGGCAGGACATGGAAGAGCGCGAGGGGGAGGCCGTCGCCGGCGAAACTCCATCACCGCACCCAAATCCAACGCTACGCCATCCAGTCCCTAAATCCCCTTGCTCTACTGGGAGGGGGGGTGATGGAGGGAGCGCCAAGAGAGGAGGAGGGTACGGGAGAGCGTGAGGGGAAAGCCGTCGTCGGCGAGGAGAAGCCGGGGAGGTAAGGCAAGGCGGCGGCGGCGCAAGGACAGGGGAAAGGAAGAGAAAGGGCAGGAGAACAGTGATGGATAGGGTTTCAGGGGAATGGAGAGGATAGGATAGGGATGTTCTCTTTTGCAGAAAACACCCTTATTTCTCTTTTTTCATAGCGCGGTCCTATATCTAGAATTTCGTCTCCTTCACATAGTATATACCAAGACATTGAGGGCTGTTACGAAAGACTACAAAACACAGGAGCATAGGGTGAGGGACGTAAGAGTAATTATCAAGTTAATCGAGGACTTTTTTGCAAGATGACCAGTTCCAACACGGGCCGATGTGGATACCACCAGAAGCGTACACGCCAGCCAAAAAACCGCAGAATCGCTATGGTGCGAGCATTCTGCGGTGGTCTTTAATATCTCCGATTATTAATGGTTTGGTTGATTCGTTGCTTGCGGTGTAAGAGGAGAAACAGAGAATTGGGACGAGAAATCAGTCTTTGTACATGCCAATTGCCTAATTCCTGATTCGTGACAAGAGTCCCTGTTCTTTGTAATCAATAAATTCGAATACAGAAATCACTGCGCCCCTACGGTGAACGATTAAAAAGGTCTTCATGATTTTATTCTGACTGGCATTTCGTTCTGATAGAAGTTCTAGTTTGAACATTATATTTGACAACCCAGTTTAAACTCCAACTCGGTTGGTTAACTATTTACGGCCCATGTAGGCAATAGGGCTCTAGACTAAAGAGGCTGAACAGCCCACATCTCTGCCATCCGGCCTACTCCAACCGCAGTCCAGCCCATCACGTTCCGTATAGGAATAAGTTCATCGAAATTTAATTCGCAACCCTAAACCACAAAACCGGATATCTTGACCCCCCAACTCTTAAAACCGGTGCAATTTGACTCCCTCGACGGTTTTGGAGGGCGGTTTCGCTGACGTGGCGCCTACATGGCATCCCAGTCATCAAATAAATTAAAAAAATAAAGTGGGGCCCACCTGCTAGTGACACCCTCCTATATTCTCTCTCTTCTCGTTGGCAATGGCGACGGGAGGACGAGGGGAGTGGCGGCGACGGCGAGGTCGGCTCGCCCCTTCGCCTTCAGGACACCCTGGCAATGGCGACGCTCGCCCGTCTCCTCCTCCTCCTCTCTCTCTCTCTCTCTTTCAGCTCTTCTCGGCGCCGACGAGAGAGATGCCGAGGCGCCGCTGCCGGTGCCAACCTCCACCACTGGCACGTGAGGTGGCCGGCGGTGCGCTTTCCCAACGACGACGAGGTGGAGGAGGAGCAGGAAGAGGGGGACCCGCCGGCGCACTCAGATTCGAGCCACTCGGAGCACGTGAGCTGGGTGTGCGCGGCCATCGTGGACGTCGTTGTGGTGGGCGCTGACGTGAGATATTGGCCGCGGCGACCGTCGAGCTCACCTGCTCATGCCCAATCCGACGAGCTCCCTCTCTTGCGCAGCTTGTGCTCTGGGAGGCGAGATGCATGCCATCTCTTGCCGTGGCGGAGGTGGTCTCTCTCCCTATCTCGCTGCCTCCCGTCGCCGGATGGGAGCTCGATCTCCAACCTCATTTCTTGCCCGCTCGAGCTTCGACCTCACCACTTCCTCGCGGCAGCAGATCCGTAGATCACCGAGATGGAAGCCACAGCGAGCTCCACCGGTCGCTGATGCCGCCTCTCCTTGCTCTGCCCTACCGCCTCCCTCTCCGTGCCACAGCGGGAAAAGGGGTTGTGGGCTTGCGGCATCGCGGCAACCGCATCGGCTCCAACGGAGCATGGCAAGGGAGGATGGCTGGCTAGGAGCGGCTCCACCGGAGCGGCGGCGGCGGCAAAGAAAAAGGAAGCGGCGGAGACGTATGCCGACGCCGGACGTCGTCCCCACCGCCGGATGCCGACGCTGCCGCTCCCCGTCGTTGTGGCGGGCTCCAGATCGCCGAATGCCGACGCCGGCGCTCCCCGGCGTTGGTGCCCTCCCCGCCCACCTCCGCAGCTCCGGCCTCGCCGTCACCGCCCACTGCCGCTCGCTCTCTCTGCCATCCCGCCCGCCGTCTAAAGGGGAGAGAAAGAGAGAAGGGAGAGAGGGAGGAAGAAGGCCCACATGTCAGTTGGCCCACATTTCTTTTTTGTGAATGACTAATGGGTCCCACGTATACTTTTTAATTTTATTGCCATGTAAGAGCCACGTCAACGCCACGTGTAACGAAGACTTGGTTAATATCGCCACGTAGGTGCCACGTGGCGCCACGTCAGCGAAACCGTCCTCCAAAACCGCCTAGGGAGTCAAATTGCACGGTTTTAGGAGTTTTGGGGTCAAGATATCCGGTTTTATGGTTTAAGGTCACGGATTAGATTTCGATCACTTTTGAGGGTCACAAAATAAACTTATTCCTTCCGTATATGGCCCTCGGGAGAAACTGAAGGGCTCCATGCAGGCATGCAGTCGGCAAGAGTGCCCACGCGGCCCAGCGCGGAGCCGCAAACTCAACAACCACCTGCCGAAACGGAAGGATTCCCGCATCGAGCGGCAGTCGGGAGCACAGGCGAGGACGCATTCCCGGCTTATCCATGCGGCCACGCCCACGCCGCCACGCGCGCAGGTAGCATCGGCGTTTCGGCGACTAGGCGGCGAGACGCCGAGAGTGGAGCTCGAAAGGCGCCGCGCTCGCGCTTGCGCTTGCATGCACAAAGTCGGGGCCGCTGATCCGCGCGGACACGATCAGTCCCGCCCCCTCTTGTCTCTACGTATATGTGTGTGTGTTTGTGTGTCTGTGTGTGTGTGTACACACACACATATATATAAATTTTGTATTATACAAACTGTACGTATATGAAAACTCATATCTCATTTGTCCTTATTTTTTTACCTTCGTACGTACATATCCTTATACATCGGCCAATCCCCTATATATACAAGTTTACCATAGTTGGGCACTATTCGCCCATGGTTTCATGATAAGCATGCTCGCGACAAGAGGGGGGTTTTTATCCGAGGTGGACGAGGGAGGGGATCGTGCAAACTAACCTTGCGTGTGGCTCGGATTTCAGGCGCAGTGAGCAAAGGCTTAGCTCTTGCACGGGAGTGAGCGCATACTAACTATGCAGAGGTATATTGTGCTCTATCATTTCTATTTGTATTTCATATCCAGCTGTAACGGAGGGCAACGCCAATCTGAACAACACGTCGGCTAGCGGCAGATGAGGCGCCGGCGCCGGGGCACATATATAATATGACTATGCCGACATGTTTAGCCACATTTTTTAGCTTTAAAGCGATTTGCGGTTCGTAATTCCGTTGAATACTCAATAAGAACGAAGAGATTGTGAGTGTGAGGCGAAGCCAGCCGGCACATACTATGACAGAGCGGCCGGCAAGGCTTCTTTAATCTAATTAATTAATAATCTTCGTCGTGGTCTCGTGGAGATGTTCGATCTGCGAAAAAACGCGGTTCTATACCGACCTACCCTGTCCCTTTCTTATCTATAACTAATATAAATATTTGGATTTTTCCGGTCATCACATCGCAGTAATCACAGATTTTCGTCCGTCATTAATCACGCTAAACTCATCCGATCCGATTCATCCACCCGATTCTGTTTTGGTTCGGTCCATATAGAATTACAATACAAGCCCAAACTGTGATTTCAGTATTCTAGGTCCATCTACAAGCACATACTCACACCAATTCCAATCTAATCTATCTTATAACTTAACTAATTAAAAGATTCATATTTTTCCAATCGTTGGTGCGCACCAGCAACCCCCGCCCCCGAATCCCAATCGCGAGCGAAAAAAAAGAAAGTTCGATTCAATCAATGGCGCGGACAAAAAAAACCCGTAAAAAAGGACGATAAAAAAAATCCTCTTCATTTGTCAGCCACATCACGCGTGCCCCCTCTCCAAATCCCAAACCACCATAATCCAAACCAAAAACAAAATACTAATCCAAATCGGAATCATCACAAAATCATCTGAAATCTAAAATACCGAAAATTGGAACCATGCTATTATAATTTTGTAAAATTTAAGATATGCCATTAGGACTCATGTGGGTCCTTCAATGACGTGGGTCCTACATGTCATTGAGATATCGATGACATATCTTAAACTTTGCAAAATTATAATGGCATGGGTCTAAATTACCAAAAAAATAGATCATAGGAAATCAACAAATTATAGTACAAAACAAATCACACAGGAGAGGGAGGGCGAGCGCTGCTCCTTGCCGGACCTCCACGCCGCCTTGCTACCGGGAGCCGTCGACCGGCTGCTGCTCCAGGGATCCGCCGAGCCGCCACTGGGCCGCCGCCGCCGTTTCCCCTCCTTCTAGCTGGGTGGAAGGATCGAGATGCGCCCTCGCTCTGGGAGCCGTGCGCCGTTCTCTCACTCCGCTCAGGTCCACCGCTCTGGGCGTTTTTTTTAAAAAAAACAGAAACAGGCAGTCAGGCACTCGTATTGCAGACAAGGCTTTTTTTCCTTTTTTTTCTTTGATCAAGAACGATTCATCATTTTTACAATTGTAATTTGGAAATATTATAGTATATATCTTATAACTAATTAAAGATTCGTAATTTTTCGTTCGTCACCTCTCTTTTCGTCCGTCCGTTCTATCCCAATTCGATTTTGTTAGCGATGAAAAAAATTGCAAAAAAAAGAAGAAAGAAACCCAATAAAGCACCCATAAATTCGCACCCGATTCATTACTGAACAAAATCCAATCGGACAATCAACCGATTGAGAAAAAGAACATGAAGAAGAACAAAAACATCACCGGGAAAGCCACCAACATCGTCGTCGCCACCAGATCCGTCCACGAGGCGCCATCGGTGAAGCCGGATCGGCGATTTCTACGTTGCCGTTGGATCCGCCGCAGGAAGCCGTCGGCACTGGATCTGCCCGAGGGAAACCACCGACGCCGTCGGATCTTGAGGGTGGAGAGGGTGCCGTCCCTAAGAGGAAGGGACGGCCATCGAGGCCGACGGGGAGAGGGAGGAGGAGGAGGAGGAGGGACGACTATCACCGTCGTCTCCTCCGCACCCCGCCATCGTCGCGCCGTGCAGGCGAGATGGGAGGGAAAGGGGGAGAGGGAGCGGCGCGCCAGTGGGGAGAGGGGAGAAGAAGGGAAGCTGCGCCACTAGAGGGGAGAGATGGCGCCGGTGGGGAGAAGGGGACATGTGGCGTCGGGCGGGGGAGGCTGCCAGCGGTGGGAGGGGGGATGGGAGTGAATGAATCTAGGGTTAGTGTTTTGATTAATTTTGGGTGCCCACTATTTATTTAGGTTAGGATTAATCTGGACCGTCCATTCGATCGGATGGCTCCAACTTCTCCCGCGTTGGACCGTTGGCCTGTTGGGTAGCCGGATGGACCGCGCGTAGCAGAGGATGCAAAATGGACTTGAACGCTGAAGGAAACAGGCCAGCCACATAGAATAGACAAGAGGGAACGAGATGAACTTTTCCATATTCGGCCCAAACCTAAAAGGAAGGATTTTGATTCTTTTTCCAATTAAATAATTGTTAAATGATGTTTGTATTATTAAAATTAGCAATTTAAGCTCTGAAAATTCCAATAAAATTCTAAAGAGCGTAACTAATCATGGAGTATTTAATAAAATTAAATTTAATCATGTCATTTTATTTCTCACACTTGTTTTACTTGTAAATTGATTTAATTATATATATACCTACTTAAAAATACCAAATATTTCAGCAAATTTATATTTTAAATAATTGCATATTTTCTGGTCTATACACTTCCCGTTGCAACGCACGGGCACTTTTGCTATGTAACACAAAAACGAAAATTATCAGAAATCACCACGATATAGAACTGGAGTAGATAATAAACCGTACACGGTACAGCACGCCGCACAAGCTATCAAGTACCACACGAGGACAGCCGACAAAGATACATGGCCGTACGTGCAACAGCACGCCACACCAACTGACAATTATCCAAGGTGACGAGACGACGACGACGGAGCTTAATTTATTCAGGTAGAAAACGCGAGCTGAGTAGCTGACCATGCACGCACTGATCACTACGAACACGACTAAACCTTACTGACACCGACCCGGTAGGGGTCGCTGTGGTACACACGCTATCAAGCGATGGCAATGCGGTTGGGGGTCTCGTTCTCCATGGCCTTGAACGCCTCGAACCGGGGCTCCTTGGCCTCGAACTTGTGGCGCACGTACAGCTTCATGTAGTCCTCGAACACGAACTTGGGATACGTCTCGCCGGCCTCCTCCTCCTTCACCAGCGCCGGCGCCGGGGAGATGACGGCGTCGCTGCCAGGGTTGTAGAAGGACGCGATGGACATCCTGTTGCCGTCGATCTGCGCCACCACCCGGTGCATCACGCTCTTGTACCTGCCGTTGGTGATCACCTCCAGCTGGTCGCCGAGGTTGACGACGATGGAGTGGCGCATGGGCGGCACGTCCACCCACTCGCCGTCCTTGAGCAGCTGGAGGCCACCGACGCGGTCGTCCTGGAAGAGCAGGATGATGCCGCCGGCGTCGGTGTGGGCGCGGAGGCCCTTGACGAGGTCGGGGCGCGGGCACGGCGGGTAGCTGCTGACCTTGGTGCCGAAGGTGGGTGCGCCCGCGGGGCCACGGAAGGCCTTGGTGAGGTAGCCCTTCTCGAGGCCGAGGTTCTCGCAGAGCAGGTCCAGTAGCCGCTCCGCCAGCGTCTCCAGCTCCGCCGCGAAGCGCTTCATGAGGCGCCTGTAGTCGTCGTCGAGGTCGGGTATGTCGGCGATGTTGGACTCCGGGAGGTGGCGGACGAAGAAGGTGCTCTCCCAGTCCAGCTTCTCCGCCTTATTCACGTCGTCGCAGCCTTCCTTGAGCGTCTTGCTCGCGAACTCGAGGAACCTCTGCTCGCGCACACGCTTGTAGTGGTCCTTGGTCATCTTCTCCACCTCGTCCATCAGCTCCGTCGAGATGCCGTGGTTCAGGATCTGCACGATATATACGCACCGCACCAACAGATCAAACAAGAGAACATGCATCTAGTTGGTTTAGAAGAAACTGAATTCTACATGCATCTTGATTTCTATTTCTACATGTGTTTAGTATTCAATCGCACAGTTTTCTACCTCAAAGAAGCCCCAGCTCTCGCATGCGTCGCGGAGCAGCCCCATCGCCGCGGGCCTCTCTGCCCCGTCGAGCAGACTCATGTCGATGATCGGGAACGACAATGCTGCCGCCATGCTAGCTAACTCTCAAGTTCCTCTCTTTCACCAGCTGGGTTGTGTATTAAGAATCTAGTGAGGAAGTGAGTAGGTGAGCCAAGCCTCTGGTGCTATTTGTAGGCATTTGGTCAGTCTTTGAAATGCAGTCACTTCCAAAAATTGGCAAATCAGTATCGTTATCAATACAGATATGTAGCATTTAAAAAGATATTAATTCTTGATATTAGCATGATATTATCGCATATTATGTTTTTAAAACGAAATTAGTTTTGACATATTCTAATGCTACGAATCTGGACAAAGTGCTTATCAAATTCATAGTCGCAGAATATATTACATCCTCTGCTAAATGCACTTAGTTTTGGAAGGAGGGAGTATCCGTTACCCAGCACTATTTCAATAGAAACTGAAAGGGTTAGATCACAACTGGAGTATATTACTATCCTACTAACTAATTTTCCTCTTATATTTTTTTCTCCTCCCCATCTCTCACGACAACCGTTGTGGCTCATGCACGTTGTGTAAAACAAGTTTTCGCTCTTTATAATTTATTGTTGTGCAAGCCTTTTGCGTGACGAAAAAAAAATCATATTGACTAATAAGCTTAATAACATTTGAAATATTTTTGTATTAAATGTTACTAGTGTAGCTATAGTATACTTCGCTCCATCCCAGAATATAGCAACCTATAACTGGATGGGACATATCCTAGTACTACGAATCTGGACAGAGAAATATGTCCAATCCGGTTTTAGATTAGTATATTCTGGGACGGAGGGAGTAGTAATTATTGTGTAACTGCTTTTTCCTCGAAATCTGTCGAATATGTCTATATCGGTATTGGAGGATCAACCAATGAGCTAGGCTAAGGACCATGGAGTTACCAGGGGCGGATATTTAAGGTAGTCTCTCCCCGACGCAAAGGATGTTCGGTGAAATTTTTATATTTAGGTTTTAGCTTATACTGTTAGTTGTAATTACTTGATAATTAAGAGCCGCTGACAATATAATTTGTATAAGAAACCTGGTGACATCCTCAGGAGCTCAAGAATGGATGACGGCACCAAGCTGCCCCATTTCCACGGTGGGGAATCCTTGTTCCTATATCGCGGATAGTTATCCTTGAGATTCCTGATTTCTCTATATAAGTCCATTTGAAACTACACAGATGATTTCATGAAAAACATTAAATACTGAGAATCAATCTGAGATTGCTAAGGGGCGATCGGTCGCCCCTAGCGATCAGCCCGTCCCCCCTCCCCTCCCTCCACCTGGTTTTCTTTTTTGACACCGTATTACTTTTCTATTTTAGTAAATTTATGCACCTAAAGTTTGTACACATCAAGTTTACACATCTAAAGTTTAGAGACCCAAAGTTTATAAGTCAAAAGTTTATATATCCGATTCAAATTTGAATTGGAATTCAAATATTTTTTATATATAGTATTTCTATACATCTAAAGTTTATACACCTAAAGTTTATAGACCCAAAGTTTATAAGTCAAAAGTTTACATACGCGTTTCAAATTTGAATTTGAATTCAAATATTAGTTTATAGACCCAAAGTTTATAAGTCAAAAGTTTACATACCCGTTTAAAATTTGAATTTGAATTCAAATATTAGTTTATAGACCCAAAGTTTATAAGTCAAAAGTTTACATACCCGTTCAAATTTGAATTTGAATTCAAATATTAGTTTATAGATCCAAAATTTATAAGTCAAAAGTTTATATACCCGTTTTAAATTTGAATTTGAATTAAATATTTTTTATATATAGTATTTCTATATATATTTTTTTCTAACTTTGTTCTTTTATTTTTTAAAATTTTATAGTATACTGTAGTAGAAAGAGAATAAGGGGAGGAGGAAGGGGGGAGAGGAGGGAGCTTATATGGGGAGGGGCGCAATAGCCTTACCCGAATAAATCCCTCCAAGTAAAAATGCTCGCGCGCTCAGCCGTAACGGCATAATGTGCCTTACTCGATGCTGACTTATACTTCCCACATCCCACAATGTTCCTATCTAGTATGCGATAAAACATTTCCTTGTGCAATGAATCTGGACAGGCTAATCAGATTCATTTAGAAAATATCCTCTATCCAGATTTATTGTACTAAAAAATATCCTATCGCATACTAGATAGTACTCTATCCGTCTTAAATTATAAGGTTTACATTTTTATACGGTTTTCAATAATATATTTTGACCATTAATTTATTGTATGTTATGTTTCCAATGAATATATGAAATTAGCATCAAATGAAAGTAATTCAAAATATGAATTTAGTTATATAGCATGCATAACACTTAGCATAGATATTGTTAATATAATCATTAGTCAAAAGTTACCTGGTTTGATTATTCTTTTAGTGGTAGGCGACATACCCGTCGACAGCGAGGCGCCTGTGGTGACTTCGTTAATATCAAGATATGCCGGTCCAGTCTTCCGGAGGTGCTCATAGGGGTAGGGTATGCGTGTATGCGTTCATAGGGGTGAGTGTGTGTGGAGATTATGGTTACCCCATATCTACATGGCAGTTATATTCTAGCTGGATATACAGTACCAAATATAGATAGAATATCTTTATGAGGACTCGGGTTAGATTCTAAACTTGTATATCAAGAAAGTACCTAGGATCCTAGTCGGTTACGATTGTATTTTATCTGTAATCCCATATTCCGTTAGGATATGGACTGTACTTTGTATTACGGATTCCTTCCCCTATATAAGGAGGGTCCGTGTGCCTCTTGGGGCACGATTCTTTTTTCTCCCAATCATACAATCAATAAAACACTCGGCGGAATCATCCCCGGACAGGAGTAGGGTATTACTTCTTGAATAAGAAGGCCTGAACCTGTATTAAATTCCTTGTCTCCAAACCCATCCACTTTCCTAGCTTGATAGCCACCCACTTTTATTATTGCCGAAATCTTGTTTCGACAGTTGGCGCGCCAGGTAGGGGAAGCGTCAAGTTTTTGCCGACTAAGTGCGATGGGTTCTGTTTCTGCCATCGACGACTTCGCCTTCTCTCCCGGGCAGGCGTTCCGGTTCGGCAGCCTCAACTTCATCACCAACGACTTCGGCAAGATCTCTCTCCTTGACTCGGATTCGAACCAGTCGGGGAGAGACCAGGTCCCCGTGCAGTTCGGTATTCCGAACTCGGGCGAGGCCTACTCCAAGATCATATCTTCCGAGTCGGCTTCAAACTACTCGGACGAGATCCAATTTACTCCTCCGTGGCCATATCAAGACGACGAGTCCTATCCCTCAATCTTGATGAAACTTCCTGATGACTTGGTCGCCGTCTTCACAGCCAAAACATCTCCCACTTGGAGATCTAGGCGAGCTCCGGTATCGGCCCCGATCCAGTCTAGATCCAGGGAGGTTGGCGTTATACTCCAACCTCTTGGGACAGTCTCGACGGAAGAGTTAGATGGTTACCTTAGCTCCCCCGGCGTCAGTTCTTGACCAACCGAGATCCTCGACTACGACGATTTCGGCTACCACTACGACCACGGCGACCTCGACAACTTCGACGACAGCTATGAGGATAACTACATGCCCCTCTTCTTCGGCGTATTCATGGCTGACAACGAAACAGAGGAACAGCGCCAAGCCCGAGAAGCGGGCCAAGATCGCGCACGGCAAGAAGCTGAACGTGCCGACTGGAGAAAGAGCGACAGCGACAGGAGCGAGAACGACTACAGCGTGAGCAACAAGATCGCGAACGGATTGCAAAGGAGGCTGAAGATCGACGGCAACGCGCCTTGGAATCTGGGCGCCGAGCGAGAGAGCTCATTGGGCAACAAGACGTCGACGGGACAGCGGTCTTTCGCACCCCCCAGCAGAACGCGGTTGCAGCAATCACTCTCCTCGACACCCTCCTCAAGGAAGACGCACTCAACCAAGCCGATCATGTTGTCAACATCTTGAACCAGACAAAGGCCTCGGTTCCAACCAACTCCGCAAGCACCCGCACCCCAACTGGTAGCCGAGTCCCTCATTTCCGATCTCATGATTATCATCAGCCAAGCCTCAACATCACCGGCACAGGATCTAGTCGCAGGAGCAGGGGTCACGACAAACGATCTGTTCACTCACCTCCCGAACGTCACAGGGAGCGCCGAGCTGAACGGCCTCACTCTCCACCTCGCCAGCGTCCCGTCGACCTTCGCGAGACGATCAACCAGCACCGTGCAGCACGAGGTCACCGCCATTCACCAAATCGCTACGATGACGACGTGGATGGAGTAGCTGCCTTCACTAATGACCTGCGTCGAGTGGATTGGCCAGCCGGCTTTAAGCCGACTGGAATCGAGAAGTATGACGGCACCACTAATCCGGAGTCTTGGCTCACCGTCTACGGATTCGCAATCCGCGCAGCAGGAGGAGACAGCAAGGCCATGGCAAATTATCTGCCTGTGGCCCTAGCGGACTCCGCCCGATCCTGGCTCCACGGACTACCCTGTGGCACGATCAGATCATGGGCGGAACTTCGTGATCACTTCATCGCCAACTTCCAGGGCACCTTTGAACGCCCCGGCACACAGTTTGATCTCTACAACATCGTTCAGAAGTCTGGAGAATCCCTTCGAGATTACATCCGATGCTTCTCCGAACAACGCAACAAGATCTCCGACATCACCGACGACGTCATCATCGCCGCCTTCACTAAAGGCATTCGCCACGAGGATCTAGTCGGCAAGTTCGGACGTAAACCTCCTAGGATGGTTAAGCAGATGTTCGAAAAAGCCAACGAGTATGCCAAAGCCGAAGATGCTATCACCGCGTCCAAACAGTCGGGCACCACTTGGAAGCCAAATAAGGACACGCCGACTGCAGGGGGGAGTGGAAGTAACAACCACAAGGATCGCAAGCGTAAGCCCGAAGAACTTGTGGCGACCACCTCTCCATCTTCCCGACAACGTCCTCGCGTCAACACCTTCGACAAGATAATGAACTCCCAATGTCCGCATCATCCCAACTCCAACCACGTGGCCAAAGATTGCTCCGTCTACAAACAGTTCGCGGAGCAATACGTCAAGAACGCCCGCAAACCTGCAGACGGAGATCAGGGCACATCAAAGAAGAAAGATGAT